CATGCACACAGGCGCTTCACTACTGCGGAGATGACGAGTCGGTGTGGCCGAGTTCATCTCTTAAACCAAAACAAAGAAAGCGCTTGTTTATCAGTGAATTATTAAAATGTTAATGCAGCCTCCTTACTGTTTTTCCCTGACACATTCATAATCATAGCTTCTGCCGGTGCGCTGTGGCAAGCTTTATGCGTGTGCTTGAGCGCTTATTAGGCCTTGTAGGCAATTAAAGGCTCATTATAATGATTTAAATGGTTCATTAATAAATGTGCGATTAGTCGACTAATGCTTAAAATGAACGACTACTAGTCGACCAGAAAAATCCTTAGTCGAGGGCAGCCCAAAGTAAAACATATTCACTTTTTTTTTTAAATATTTGATATATTTTGGATTTTATGAGTTGTATCTCCCAGGATATGTTGCCCTTTTAAGGGTATAAAAAACAGTCTAAGTCATCAATAATTCTATGATTTATTTGATGCAAACAAATATGGAATATTCAAAATATGCTGCATGTATGACATGTCTGTGTCCTAAAATTGAGGCATAGACATTTTTTGTATTTTTACATTTTTTAACTGTCTCATCTTTATCCTCAGGGGTGGGTAATTCCAACCCTTGAGGTCCACTGTCCAGCACGGTTTAGCGCCACCCCTAAACAATCATATAATGTAATTTATGTAACAAAATAATTTTTTTAATGTAATCCTGAAGACTTTTGTCAGATTTGTCAGATGTGTTTGATCAGGGTTGAAACTAAACGCTGCAGGGTGGTGGCCCTCTAGGAGCAGGGTTGGACACCCCTGTTCTACCATAAAATGAGCTGTGTGAAACCCTGCAAGAAAAAAAAAAATCTAGTTAAAAATGCAAAGATGTAAACTAAATGTAATATTATCCGTTTTACATGCAAATATTAACATTTGCACAATTTTTTAACTCAAAATAAATAGAAAGTGGACTGTGTACAGGGGGCCTTGATGCCAGGAAGGCCAATAAGGCTCTTCCCTAAGGGCCCCTGGCCCTGGAATGCAATTTCTACTGAGGGGGATCTGCTCTCCTTGATGCGATTTATAACCCTCATCCACCCCACTTCTCTGAGATAATTGTTTTTTTTATCAAGAGGCTTCCCCTTGTATTTTATGTGATTTCTGTGTATTTTCTACATCACCCCCCATAACCACCAAGGGGGAACGCCAAACACCCTCAAAACACCACACCCCACCCCACCCCTCACACACACACCACCCCATACCACCCCAGAATTCACAATAATGAAATAACCAGAACTGGGGGCACAATTTACCTTGTGACACCATTCATTGTCGGTATTGAGGATAATCCTTTTTTTACCCTACCCTAATCTGGCAACGTATCTCAGGGGGATACGCATATTTCAAAATGCGATAAAAAAACAACACAAACAACATATGACTTAATTTTCTTTTTCAACATCTCAAGACAATGTTCACAATTAATACTAATAGTTGTATTGCATTTTTGCTGAAAAAAGTAAGATTAATATATGCCTACTTTCTACATTTTCTGAATGTCCAGCCTTCATGGGCAGACGTGTTAGCTTTAGGTCAAACTGACAAAACGAGCACAGAAAATTTGAACTAAGTGATGTGACCCCCCATACTCCAAACAACCTCAACTATGATAATGATAACAGTATTGGATGAAAAATATTTTGCCTCCTACAAGAGACTAAAGAAATATTTCCTCGTGCCTCCTACAAGAGACTAAAGAATTTGTATCTGGTGGTACACGTTGCCTGTTTTAGGGATATACATGAAACAGCGGTGCCAACTGCAAACATTCCAGTGTTTCTGTAGTATTACATACATACTTATATATACAGCATTTATTATTTTGAATTAGATGTGTATTAAATATATTATGTCAAGCTCTAAAATATTTTATTATTTTAAATAGTATAAACTGCAGAGAAATTGCTATATTTGTGAGTTAAAAATACATTTTAAAAACATTCTCTTATAAATCACAAACAAGTGGAAAAGCCATTAATAATAATATAATATATTAAAAAAAGAAGCTGTCACTATTGCAGAAGTAAATCTACAGAAATCTTCATGGGGATTTTGAATTTTGTCTTGGATAATGAGGGACCTTGGAGTCAAAAAGATTGAGAACCACTGTTCTAACAACACAAGGTCATAAACACACACAACGCACCATACGCAGGTTCTGAGTGGTTCTGGTCTCAACGGCTCGGAGAATCTCTCGGAAGCGGCCGACACCACGGGTCAGGTTACTGCAGCACCGGGAAATGGAGAGAAAAGAGATCCATTAATCACCTCTAGAGAGCTGAAAAAAACCTGATGGCTCACATCAACAAATTTCTTGGGTTCCAGTAACTCTGCTCACACATGCCCCTAAGCAGGATCTCTGCAAGCTGCCTGGCAATAGTCTAAACACACACACATATATAAACATAAAGTTCTCAACCAGGGGCCGGGGCCCAATACATAAAATCCTTTAAATTAGGCTAAAAAAACCCTCTAAAAATTAAGATTAAAATTTATGCAAAATTTTGTAATCTTTGTTTTTTCTTAATTTTTGTTTAAGAACCAGGATTATAGTCTTGGAAAACTTAGACATACAAGGGAATGATGAAAGTGTAATTTCTAGACCTGGAATTTTGTCTTGGATAATGAGGGACCTTGGAGTCAAAAAGATTGAGAACCACTGTTCTAACAACACAAGGTCATAAACACACACAACGCACCATACGCAGGTTCTGAGTGGTTCTGGTCTCAACGGCTCGGAGAATCTCTCGGAAGCGGCCGACACCACGGGTCAGGTTACTGCAGCACCGGGAAATGGAGAGAAAAGAGATCCATTAATCACCTCTAGAGAGCTGAAAAAAACCTGATGGCTCACATCAACAAATTTCTCATCGACTCCGTACAAACTTTCTTACACAAACACATGGAAAACAAGCACGCACCCTCAGGACTGGTCAGACCTCTGCCACGATTTAATGAGCTCAAGCATCAAGCAGTCAAACTAAAGCAGTTACTTATCAGTGGACAAGAAGTTATCAGGGCCTGTAGGGCACATTGATTACAGGAGTTCTGGATACAGTGCAAGTCACAATTAGCACCTATATGAACGCTGCACCTGTGAATGTGTTAGCACCTGTCAGCGACTGGGGTCAGTATCCTCAGACTGCGATATTCCCACAGCCTTTTTACAAACTGACAGCACACAAACACACACACACACACACACCATGAACGGGCACGTGTGTAAAAGACCAGAGAACATAGCTTCGGGCTGTGGAGGTGTGAAGCGTTGCAGAGATGCACGTGAATGCAGGGAGAAGCAGTACAGCAGTTGTGTTGAGAGAGACAGAAGTGTCGAAACAGGGATGAGAGCGAGCATGACAGAGAGAAACAGAGCTAACAAATAAAACGGTTAATTCAACCATCAGTTTAAAAAAATCACATGGATTTAGCCAATTTTAAACCTACAAGTGTCTATTGTTTCCAAGTGCCGCACTTGCTAAAATCACAGTTTCACTGTTCACAACTGTGTGCCCTTAAACGTAAAGTTAATGTGTGGAATTGCTTTCATGAAACACATAATGTCCTCTATTTTTACATTTAGATTACCTTCATTGTTATCTAACACTCAATTAAAGGTAATCTTTAAAACACTAATAATTTAATAACAATACAAATCTCAAAATTAATATCTATTTCATACAGTGTATTATAATGTTGCGATGCCTAAATTCACTTTTTTAAGTTTATAGTGATTTGTCTTTTTGTTTTTGTTTTTAGACAAAAGTATTGACTTTTGCTATCAGCCATATAAAAGAATTTCAGCTGTAATTTTAATACCTTTAAAATTACTCTACAGAGTTCAGGCTGAGGACTGAACATTTGTTATCCTGTAGGAAATGCATGTTGTGTGAGGTTTAAAGACATTGCTTTCAATCATTTATGAGCCTAACAGATACATTACCCACAATGCACCAATGCAGCGGTCATATTTCACACAGATGCATTTAAAGCACTGACAGAAGCTCCACCTGCATCCATATGGAAGATCCCTCCCCAACCACACACTCACTGCACAAATAAATAATGATGGAGAGTCTCATACTGGCATGTGTAAGGCCACCACACATTTCATGCTAGTACTGCAAATCGGAAAAAAGTGCACCTAACCGAATAGAACAGAATAGAGATGAAAAATGATTGGGACAGAAGATGGACAACTTGTCTCTTACTTCTTCAACCTTCCCATGTCTTCCCTTTCCCTACTACAACAGTATGATCTCTGAATAGACTGCATACTAGATCTGTTACTCTATCTCTCTACAATCAGCATGTCTGTCAGAGTAAACAAAGTCAAATTTCAGCAGACTGGAGATTTGTCCACTTATGAGATTCCCGGAAAATGCATAAACTGATCAAATGTGTACCTTAAGCTGCATTGGATACAGTTGGCAGTGCATTGGCAGTGTCTGCTACAGTTACACTACCATTCAAAAGTTTGGTTTCAGTAAGATTTTTAAATGTTTTTGAAAGAAGTACCTTATGTAAAATTGAACACAGCGTATTCATGCAGCCTTCATTTTGAGAGCGTGCCCATGATGTTTTAAAGGCTGCTTACATAGGCAGCTAACTATTGTTTTGGCTTCTGTGTGAAGCTGCTACAATAAAAGCATGGCACTACTCTACATGAAGAGATTGTAGGGATACGTACGAGTAGTCATCAAACACACGGCTCCATGATGCAGAGGCCGCGGTTCAGGGGGAGAGCGTGGCATCAGAACACACATAAATAACATGAAACGCACAGATATGCACAGGCTGAGAACTACAGAGGATCAATTAAGCATTTGGAGGAAAAAAAGGCACACAGACAGACAGAGAATTAGTGGGCAGACAGAAAGGTCAGCAGATTCCTAGACCACTCACTGAAGAACGTGTCTGAGGGAAAGAGGAGTGATGAGAAGAAACAATAGATGTTCGAACAGAGGGAATGATAAATGAATGGACACCGTTGTCTCAGGTGTTTCTAAAGGAAGCCTGTTTGGGCTGTCAATCATAATTGAGTGTTGTGCTATGGATAGGGCTGAATGGTATATTAAAAATTATATATGCAACATATTTGAGATGATTTTGCTGGTGATATAAAGCTACACGTTTTGAATTTTATTTGACTATTTAATTTTGTCAAATAAAAAGTTAAGAGTGTGTCACTAATCTAATTTTGCAAAACCTTGTTAAAGTGGGTTTGATTCGTTTGTTTAAATCAATTCAAACTGTCAGCATCAATGATTTATTTCAAAATTTGAATTTGAAATTATTTTTTGGAATCACTATTCAGAATATATCATCATTGGCAAAACATTACATTTCAAAAGTTTAGGGTAAGAAGGAGGTTTTTTTCTTATGCTCATAGATCCATTTCTTTTATCAAAAATACAGTAGAACCAGCAACATTGTGAAGGTTAAATACCATTTAAAATAACTGTTTTAAAATTTAATTTATTCATGTCATGGCAAAGCTGAATTTTCAGCAGAAATGGTTATTATATGCTGAATTGATGATCAATAAAAATTTATGATTTTTGGATGAACTGATCAAAAGTTCAAAAGCATTTATTTGCAGACTGGAGATTTGTCCACTTATGAGATTCCCGGAAAATGCATAAACTGATCAAATGTGTACCTTAAGCTGCATTGGATACAGTTGGCAGTGCATTGGCAGTGTCTGCTACAGTTACACTACCATTCAAAAGTTTGGTTTCAGTAAGATTTTTAAATGTTTTTGAAAGAAGTACCTTATGTAAAATTGAACACAGCGTATTCATGCAGCCTTCATTTTGAGAGCGTGCCCATGATGTTTTAAAGGCTGCTTACATAGGCAGCTAACTATTGTTTTGGCTTCTGTGTGAAGCTGCTACAATAAAAGCATGGCACTACTCTACATGAAGAGATTGTAGGGATACGTACGAGTAGTCATCAAACACACGGCTCCATGATGCAGAGGCCGCGGTTCAGGGGGAGAGCGTGGCATCAGAACACACATAAATAACATGAAACGCACAGATATGCACAGGCTGAGAACTACAGAGGATCAATTAAGCATTTGGAGGAAAAAAAGGCACACAGACAGACAGAGAATTAGTGGGCAGACAGAAAGGTCAGCAGATTCCTAGACCACTCACTGAAGAACGTGTCTGAGGGAAAGAGGAGTGATGAGAAGAAACAATAGATGTTCGAACAGAGGGAATGATAAATGAATGGACACCGTTGTCTCAGGTGTTTCTAAAGGAAGCCTGTTTGGGCTGTCAATCATAATTGAGTGTTGTGCTATGGATAGGGCTGAATGGTATATTAAAAATTATATATGCAACATATTTGAGATGATTTTGCTGGTGATATAAAGCTACACGTTTTGAATTTTATTTGACTATTTAATTTTGTCAAATAAAAAGTTAAGAGTGTGTCACTAATCTAATTTTGCAAAACCTTGTTAAAGTGGGTTTGATTCGTTTGTTTAAATCAATTCAAACTGTCAGCATCAATGATTTATTTCAAAATTTGAATTTGAAATTATTTTTTGGAATCACTATTCAGAATATATCATCATTGGCAAAACATTACATTTCAAAAGTTTAGGGTAAGAAGGAGGTTTTTTTCTTATGCTCATAGATCCATTTCTTTTATCAAAAATACAGTAGAACCAGCAACATTGTGAAGGTTAAATACCATTTAAAATAACTGTTTTAAAATTTAATTTATTCATGTCATGGCAAAGCTGAATTTTCAGCAGAAATGGTTATTATATGCTGAATTGATGATCAATAAAAATTTATGATTTTTGGATGAACTGATCAAAAGTTCAAAAGCATTTATTTGAAATAGAAATCTTTTGTAACATTATGAATGTCTTTACTGTCACTTGTGATCAATTTAATGCATGCTTGCTGAATAAAATTATTCATTTCTTTCTATTAATCTCTTTTCCTGTATTATTTCTTTAATTAATCAATTTAAATCTAATTTGCAACATGGGCTGTTTGCTCAAAATAATGTTTAAAAAAAAACATTTTAAAACATACAGCAAATATTGTCAAGACAAATATGGAAATATATATTTTCAGCTATATCACCCAGCCCTAGTTCCAGAGAATATAAACACACAAATACTCACCCATTTTTAAAATGAATAACATGAGCCCTCTGAAGTCCTGTCTCCAGGAAGTAGCCAAGTTCCTGTTCCTGTGTGACCGGACCGGGCTTTGGACTGCGGTTCTGAATGCCAACACTAAGAGCCTGAAGACAGGACACAAGTCATCAAAGATTACTGTCAATCATAACTGAAACAAGCTCAAACTCTTTCCTGGACACTTCCTGTTAGTTATTCAGCAAATCCAGACCAAATGTCTTCAAAAGAAACACAGAGTCAGACGGTTTACTATATTTACCCGGGGAACACTTTAGAGAGGACGGCGGTTAGGAGGGTATGAGTTTCTAGCATGAAGGTCAAACGTAAAACTTCGGCTTCATCTAAAAAATGCAGCGTCAACACTGCAGCAGAACGCAAGCGCTGCCGTTCTCCTCTCTTGCCATCATTCACTCTCTCTCTCTACGCTCCCTCCCTTCTCCACCAACGCTAAATCACAAGCAGTAAATACTGAACACTGTGCAGGGGAATGAATCTGGGCACTACGATTCCAACAAAGAGAATTAGTGGTGTGAAAACCATCTAAATGAAACAGAGACTCTGCAAAGAAAATCAACTTTGACCTGTAAAAAGCTTTAATTGTGATTTAAAGTTCACAGGTGGGACAGGAAGAGATTAGTCTCACGGATGTCTCACTCTCTGCAGCAGTACTGTGCAAATCTGTCCTGCTGCCAAGAAAATCAATGTATATTTGAATGTCTATGAGAATGTGAATAAAAAATGTGAAGATGGAAGAAGAAAAAAAAATGTAGTGAATGAATATTTGGAAATACCTTTTCTACCTCCTGAAGATAGAGAAGGGCGATGTCTCCAGACTTCTCATAACAAGTGATTATCTCCTGGTCTCTGTCTGCATTACGATTGGACAGTGATGGGGATGCCATGGGCACTTTCTCCAGACAGAGACCTATGAACAAACAGCAGAGAGAAGAGATGACTTACACATGCCAAGAGCTAGAAAGGCACACAGAGTTGTCCTAGTGCTCTGCCACATTCAGAAAGATGTTTATGACTTTTGACAGCTCATTTTAATAAAGATAATCTGAAGTGTGAAAAACAACCTAACTTGTTCCCTTTTAGAGATGTGGTACAGCAGTACAATAAAAGAATCATTGTGAAGAAGTACCATCAGGAATTAAGTAAACTAAAAAAAACAAATATGTATATGAAGAGTTCAGAAAGTGCCATTTTTTATTTATTTTTTCCTAAAATTTGCATTTTTCTCAGGCTCTATGCTTATGTTTAGAATCTATTGAAAATTTTAAACGGCACTTAGAGGCTTTTGCATCTGAACTCTTCGTACATACACACACACACACACACACACATATATATATCTATATATATATATACACACACACATATATAGATAGATAGATTCAAATAAAACAAATGTAAATGTATCACATCAAGCATCATTGCAGTGTTCTTATCATGTGAACATGAAAAAATAAAATAAAAAAGCATTAAAAGAAGTTTTTAATTTTTTAAAAATTAAATCAGTAACAAATTCTATAAATTACAAATTATATTTCATTTATATGCACGTTGTCCAAATGAACTACAGAACCTCTTGTGTTAACTAGAAAAAAATTGACATTAATAAAAAAAAAAAAACTGACATTTGAATTACTGAATTGACTGACAGCACTTACATTTCATAAGTCACCCAAGGCTGTTTATTTGTTGCTTGAAGAATCGATTTAGTATTGATATGTAGGTACCACATGGCTGCTATCATACCAAAGCCAAAAAATATAAATATAAATCTGCCATCAATCAAACCCCATTTCTTTTAAAATCATAGTTCCATTCATCTCTACTGAGCCACAGTATTCACTCGTGAAACTTTCAGAAGCACACAGCACTTCTGTCTATTCTAATTCAATTGCCTACTGAAATACACTGTTATGGTTTGATCCGTACTTTGAGGATATTATATTCATTCTTAAAGGGTCAAACTGAACACGTTACTCTTCGTTCATATAATTCGAGTTTGTTTCCTTTGTTCCGGCTGGACAGAGGAAGTGAGACGCTGAAATATACATGTGTGAGAAAATCAAAGACCTCAGACAAACCAGAAAAGCTTTAAATGTTTTAGCACGAGCTGATGTCTGTTCCACTGCCGTATCTCCTTGCCTCGTCTGGGTCAGCTGAGAGCCAAGTAATGCGGTAAAGATACAAGCACGGTTCCTTAGAGATATCACACAATCTGTGGCCAATCTCTGTCTACTGGCTTCAGCGTCCGAAGTCACATTTAATCACATCTCAGGTGGCTGGTAAACATGATGAGAGTTGTTTGTTTGGCTGCCGTTAGTATTGGGTTCTCCACGCAGATAAAGTTTTCATGACAGAATGGCAATGTGACAGGAACCAGAAACTGTAGCCCTCCTAACTACTTTTCAAACTGCTTCAATAATAGATAACGGCTTATAAACAGATATCACAGGATGAAGAAAACAGTCTGTTACCACACACAAAATGATTCCGAAATGAAAACGGAGCCGAATAATCCATCACAAGCAAGAAGGTAATGACGAGGCCCTGATTAAAAGTGCCCTGTGAAGTCTCAGTAAGACAGGAGGAGAACGAGAGTGGACTGATTGGCATAAAATATTAGTGAACGGTTTTAAGTCACCTACACTATTGGGGTCAGTAAGAAATTATTTCTACTTCAACAAAGATGCATTAAATTGATAGCAAAGACTTTCACATTGTTACAAAATAAAATCTGTTGTTTTGAACTTTCCATTCATCAAAGAATCCTGTAAAAAAAATCATGGTTTCCACAAAAATATTAAGCAGCTCATCCATTGGTAGTAATAAGAAATGTTTCTTCAGCACTAAATCAGCATATTATTTCTGAATGTCCATGTAACACTGAAGACTGGAGTAATGGCTGCTGAAAATTCAGCTTTGACAGCTCATTTTAATAAAGATAATCTGAAGTGTGAAAAACAACCTAACTTGTTCCCTTTTAGAGATGTGGTACAGCAGTACAATAAAAGAATCATTGTGAAGAAGTACCATCAGGAATTAAGTAAACTAAAAAAAACAAATATGTATATGAAGAGTTCAGAAAGTGCCATTTTTTATTTATTTTTTCCTAAAATTTGCATTTTTCTCAGGCTCTATGCTTATGTTTAGAATCTATTGAAAATTTTAAACGGCACTTAGAGGCTTTTGCATCTGAACTCTTCGTACATACACACACACACACACACACACATATATATATCTATATATATATATACACACACACATATATAGATAGATAGATTCAAATAAAACAAATGTAAATGTATCACATCAAGCATCATTGCAGTGTTCTTATCATGTGAACATGAAAAAATAAAATAAAAAAGCATTAAAAGAAGTTTTTAATTTTTTAAAAATTAAATCAGTAACAAATTCTATAAATTACAAATTATATTTCATTTATATGCACGTTGTCCAAATGAACTACAGAACCTCTTGTGTTAACTAGAAAAAAATTGACATTAATAAAAAAAAAAAAACTGACATTTGAATTACTGAATTGACTGACAGCACTTACATTTCATAAGTCACCCAAGGCTGTTTATTTGTTGCTTGAAGAATCGATTTAGTATTGATATGTAGGTACCACATGGCTGCTATCATACCAAAGCCAAAAAATATAAATATAAATCTGCCATCAATCAAACCCCATTTCTTTTAAAATCATAGTTCCATTCATCTCTACTGAGCCACAGTATTCACTCGTGAAACTTTCAGAAGCACACAGCACTTCTGTCTATTCTAATTCAATTGCCTACTGAAATACACTGTTATGGTTTGATCCGTACTTTGAGGATATTATATTCATTCTTAAAGGGTCAAACTGAACACGTTACTCTTCGTTCATATAATTCGAGTTTGTTTCCTTTGTTCCGGCTGGACAGAGGAAGTGAGACGCTGAAATATACATGTGTGAGAAAATCAAAGACCTCAGACAAACCAGAAAAGCTTTAAATGTTTTAGCACGAGCTGATGTCTGTTCCACTGCCGTATCTCCTTGCCTCGTCTGGGTCAGCTGAGAGCCAAGTAATGCGGTAAAGATACAAGCACGGTTCCTTAGAGATATCACACAATCTGTGGCCAATCTCTGTCTACTGGCTTCAGCGTCCGAAGTCACATTTAATCACATCTCAGGTGGCTGGTAAACATGATGAGAGTTGTTTGTTTGGCTGCCGTTAGTATTGGGTTCTCCACGCAGATAAAGTTTTCATGACAGAATGGCAATGTGACAGGAACCAGAAACTGTAGCCCTCCTAACTACTTTTCAAACTGCTTCAATAATAGATAACGGCTTATAAACAGATATCACAGGATGAAGAAAACAGTCTGTTACCACACACAAAATGATTCCGAAATGAAAACGGAGCCGAATAATCCATCACAAGCAAGAAGGTAATGACGAGGCCCTGATTAAAAGTGCCCTGTGAAGTCTCAGTAAGACAGGAGGAGAACGAGAGTGGACTGATTGGCATAAAATATTAGTGAACGGTTTTAAGTCACCTACACTATTGGGGTCAGTAAGAAATTATTTCTACTTCAACAAAGATGCATTAAATTGATAGCAAAGACTTTCACATTGTTACAAAATAAAATCTGTTGTTTTGAACTTTCCATTCATCAAAGAATCCTGTAAAAAAAATCATGGTTTCCACAAAAATATTAAGCAGCTCATCCATTGGTAGTAATAAGAAATGTTTCTTCAGCACTAAATCAGCATATTATTTCTGAATGTCCATGTAACACTGAAGACTGGAGTAATGGCTGCTGAAAATTCAGCTTTACCTCCACAGGAATAAAATGTTAAAAGTTAAAATATATCAAAAAAGAAATAATTCCACAACATTTGCTGTTTTACTTTATACTATTACAGACCCCAACATTTTGAACAGTAGTGTATGTACTCTTAAATATTGACAAAATTATTTTCAGCAGATATACACATTTAAAATGTACAGTTTTATTCTTCTGAGAGAATACCAACCAAAAATAATGATTTATCTGGCACTAAATGCCATGTCAAAATTTTTGTTCAATAAAATGCTCTAAAAATGAATGCCCCCCCTAGTATATATCAATGGCTGTAATGTAAACTAAGTTAATAAATTTAGTAACTAAATCTAAATAAATCTAAAATACCATTTAAAAAATGAAAATGTAAAATATTTCCTGCCCACCTTCCTGTTTTAATAGCAATAATGTCAACAAAGGGAAGACGTGTACAAGTAATTCCATAAGGTTTTTAAAGTACTTTCAAATCTAATACTGTCAGCTGGTGGCAGGACTACCTGCAATAAGTTGTTTAGTGATAAAATGACTAGTTTGTCAGAAGAAGAAGAGATCAGGCCATTGTTTTGTTTTTTTAATTTAATCTGGTCCTGCAACAGCAGTGGTTCTCAACCAAGGGGAGCCTCAGCAAACTTCCAAGGGGCCACATGAGGCCTTAAAATAACTTAAAATAAGACAAAACAGGCATTAAAATAATCTAAAACAACTAACAATCAAGACGTTTTCATCTATTAATTTAACCCCCTCAACAACTGTTTTTTTCTTGTGAAAAACCAGGGTTCCCACTGTCTTGAAAAACCTGGATATGTGAGGCAGCCTGATTTTAAAAGTGTGATTTATAGTCCAGGAAATGTCATGTAAATTAATAAAACCTTAAAATGCCACAGGCATTTTACAATGAATATACATGTTACTAGTTATGCAAGGCTCTAAAATATTTTATAATGTACTGTAGATATGATGAGTAAAAAAAAAACAACTTCAGGAAACCTTACAGAAACCAGAAGTGGCCAAAGATTAAAATAAGTTTTGAAACTACAAACATTGTTATGGACAATGGAGAGCCTTGGACTTAAAACAGTTGAGATCCACGGTCATATGGGCACAGAAATGACACACTCTAGCTTTAAGGAAAAGTTCAATTCTGTGACAAAGGAAGGAATAGGGATTTTCTAAGGTCTTATTGTTCCACACCAATGCCCAAAGAAAAAAAGGGGGTAAAATACTGAATGAGAGAAAGGGAGACAGTGTGTACATGCTGTAAATCCCTTTATCTTATATAGACCTGCTATACTGGAGCCCTAAACTTAATCTTAGAAGGTCTGAAAAAGTCACATTCACTTCTGTTTGGATACAGATAACATATTCATCAGAAATCTGTTCCTCTCGACTGCTGCGTTCCTCTAAACACACACATGTCCCTCGACTTACAGGTTTAAAAGCCCGTTATACTAGCCAGCTCTAAGACAAGCCCCATTACGGTGACCAGGCTCTTTAATGACCTGCATAACGGCTGCAGTAAATCTGACGCCTCAGGACAGGCAGTGACAAGCAGCTCACAGAGGCAAGAGGGAGATTTTTATAATTTAGGACGAGGGTTTAATATACACAGGAGACGAGGCAGGAAGCTTCAGTGAGATGACACACACGTGTGTTTGTGTGTGGTAGCTGGAGCGTGATGGATGATTGGGGTCGAGGGAGGAAGCTGCCCCCCTGTAAAAGTAGTTGTCAGTCACAGAAATGCTATGAGGCGATTGGATGAGACAGGCTCTGTGCCACCATGCAGTTTTTCCCCAGAGCCCCACAGAACCGCCGATCTGTCAGAACTCTGATCAAAGACTTCACGCTGCGGTCCTGGCAACACATTCAATGTGCTCGGAATTAAAAGTGTGTGTGTTCAAAGCAGAGGATTTAGTAGCAAACACTTTTCTCTGCAGAGCATCACATACAGTATTAAAGCAATGCTGCCTCCCAAAGGACAAAATATGAACTGCAGGGATCCGTGAACTGTTCTGACCAGGTGAGCATAAAAAAACGAAGCTAAAAATGAATAAAAATGGCATTAAAATTAAATTAATTAAAAATAAAATAGAAATGGCCTCTTTTTTACATTTTAAATTAAACAATATATTTTGTAATTATATAACTGTTAATATAATTAAATATGATATACACCACCCATAGACATTTGGGGTTGGTAAGATTTTTTAAAATGTTTTTGAAAGAAGTCTCTTATACTCAACTAGGCCTCATTTACAGTTCATGATCAAACACACACACACACACACACACACACACAAAAATAAAAATATGATACTATATTTTTTCTTTTTTTCCAATAAATTCCATTTTAATATATTTCTAAATGTAATTGATTCCTGTAATGACAAAGCTGAATTTTCAGCAGCCATTACTCCAGTCTTCAGTGTCATATGGTCCTTTAGAAATTATTCTATAATCATTCAATATGTTAATTTAGCAATAAAGAATCACTTGTTATTAGTAATATTCTTGAAAACTGTTACGAGACATTGTTAATATTTTTGGAAATATTGATACAATTTTTTCAGTATTCTTTGATGAATGGAAAGACTAGAACAAAACAAAAACTAGAATTTTTTTAAAAACATTTTAAATGTTTTTACTGTCACTTCTCATCAATTGAATGCATCATTGCTAAGTAAGAGTATTCATTTCTTAAAAAAAACTTGACAGTAATGTAATATATAGAATTTATACTGCATGAAAAGTAAAATCCCAGTGGTTAAAAAAACACTTCACATTGCTGTATAATATATTGAATATTATCCTGCTGCTGTGATTTTGTTGCTTTGCGCAGCATTTTGCTTTCAGTAAGGACACACATTTGTACTTGATTGCAGAAACATGACGTCTCGGTTCTAGTTAGGCAAAACTTCCTTAGTTACACAGTTTCACAGCGCATACATAAACAGTGTAACTGCAACAGCAGGCTCGGGTTTGTGCTTTCACAAAGACAGCATTTCTGTTATGTAACAGAGCAGCAGCTCTAATTTCTGAGCTACTACACTGATTATTTACCTTTGGTGGCATAGGCCTCAGCGATCGTGGACAGTCTGTACACTGGAGCCCCTACCAGCTGCATCTCATCCAGATTCACACGACTGTACTGATTCAGCGCTTCCCTGTAATCACCCTCCACATAACAAAGCTTAGCCATGATCAGACTGGCCTCCTGCATGTATTCAGGCTGGGAGAGAAAGAGAAGACACACACCACCACACTATAGTATACTATAGTAAATCAAATATAGCACCACAATCACTTCACATTTTCAGACACACAACTAGAATAATTTAAATACATCGCTAAAATACAGATAAACACCAATGATACTGGAAAGGCTCCAACCATGAGTGGTTTAAAGTCAATTTTAGATTTACCTGGCACTGAATTATCCATAATCATAAACTTTTTTATTCCACTACTAATCTGGTTGTCATTGACTCCCAAAACTTGGTATTGCGGTATTGCTAATATTGTTGGATATGATAAATTGCTTTTGGTTTTTCTCATTTAAAAATCTTTAAATAAAAGTCTGATAAATTATTACATTTAAATCTGGATGTTAAGATGTTATTCCATACTTAGGGGCCATTTTCACAGAATGTGTTTTTGCATTCTTTTGCACTGCTTTTCCATTGTTGTAAACATGCAGTAGACGGACGTGTTTGACAGCTGTGCTTACGTTCATGTCTTTTGCAGCGTCTTGTGCATGACACAGTATTCTTAAAATAAGTTCAACTTTTTAAAAAAAAGCATCTCTACACCTTGCATTTTTCCCCATTCCACTGACATGCATCGTGCACAAAACTGCATACTGTGTAAATCACCCCTTAGAATTCCTTTACACTAACCATTAATCATTTACTAAGCATTTTTATATATAAAGTATATATTTTCTTTAATTTTGATGATGGATCAGATACATTTTAGTATCATTAAAATTCTATACACTTTTTGTGTGTATATTTATTATGTATATATAAATTCACACACATGCACATATATATTTAAGATAAATATGTTATGTTAATATATTAAATATATCACACTATAGTATACTATAGTAAATCAAATATAGCACCACAATCACTTCACATTTTCAGACACACAACTAGAATAATTTAAATACATCGCTAAAATACAGATAAACACCAATGATACTGGAAAGGCTCCAACCATGAGTGGTTTAAAGTCAATTTTAGATTTACCTGGCACTGAATTATCCATAATCATAAACTTTTTTATTCCACTACTAATCTGGTTGTCATTGACTCCCAAAACTTGGTATTGCGGTATTGCTAATATTGTTGGATATGATAAATTGCTTTTGGTTTTTCTCATTTAAAAATCTTTAAATAAAAGTCTGATAAATTATTACATTTAAATCTGGATGTTAAGATGTTATTCCATACTTAGGGGCCATTTTCACAGAATGTGTTTTTGCATTCTTTTGCACTGCTTTTCCATTGTTGTAAACATGCAGTAGACGGACGTGTTTGACAGCTGTGCTTACGTTCATGTCTTTTGCAGCGTCTTGTGCATGACACAGTATTCTTAAAATAAGTTCAACTTTTTAAAAAAAAGCATCTCTACACCTTGCATTTTTCCCCATTCCACTGACATGCATCGTGCACAAAACTGCATACTGTGTAAATCACCCCTTAGAATTCCTTTACACTAACCATTAATCATTTACTAAGCATTTTTATATATAAAGTATATATTTTCTTTAATTTTGATGATGGATCAGATACATTTTAGTATCATTAAAATTCTATACACTTTTTGTGTGTATATTTATTATGTATATATAAATTCACACACATGCACATATATATTTAAGATAAATATGTTATGTTAATATATTAAATATATTTATATATAATATAAATTATATGAATATATATACACATGTAAATATATTTGATATTATTGACATATTTATTCATACATTATAGGAATATAAATACATGTAAATATTTTCTAAATATATACTGTATATGTGTGTATTTATATATACATAATAAATGTACACAGTACACACATATATATTATGTAAACAAAAACGTTTATTTTGGATGCGATTAATCGTTTGACAGCACTAGTTTTTACTATGATACATTTATTATTTTTTATTATACTTTTAGTTATCATACTATTTTATTAGTTGTTACATTATTATTTATTACTTACAGTTTTATTAATTTTGTTGTGTCAATTTTATTAGTTATTTTTAGTGCTGTCAAACGATTAATCGCATCTAAAATAAAAGTTTTTGTTTACATAATATATGTGTGTGTACTGTGTATATTTATTATTTATATATAAATAAACATACATTAAAGGCATTTATAATGTTACAAAAGATTTCTATTTCAGATAAATAGTGTTCATATCGATATCGGAATTATATCGTATCGACCGAAATTAAGAAATATATCATGATATCAATTTTGGCCATATCGTCCAGCCCTATATTTAATGCGCATCTATATAAATTATATCATATATAAATATATTTAATATATAAATGTCACATATTTTTCTTAAATATATACATGCATGTGTGTGTATTTATTTTTTTACATAATAAATATACGCAGTACACACACATATATTATGTAAACAAAAACTTTTATTTTGGATGCGATTAATCGTTTGACAGCACTAGTTATTTTTTATATGTATATATAGTTTTATTCATTTTATTTCAGTTTTAGTTTCAGTTATTTTAGTACATAATGTTAAACTAAATGAAAATGAGAAATGTTGCTTTGGCAACTAGCTTAAATATATTTTATATTTGATTTTATTTCAGTTAAACATTTCTTTCATTTCAAGAAATATTTTTTAAATGGTTTTAGTTTTAATTTTAGTTCACTGTAACACTGACGCAGCAAACAGAAGTGATGATCCTGACAGTTCAGGCTTACCTTTAAGTTTCCCCGATCAAGTGCAGCCGTCAAGTGTTTCCGTACCTCCTGGAGGCGTGGCCGGGGCCCGCGGGGACTGGCTCCCTGCTTGATGGGGTTTTCCTTGATGTACTGCTGGAGTTTGGCCTCCCCCAGCAGAAGCTCCCCGAGATCATCTACAAGAGAAGCAGAGGTTGAACTGGGCACCTGAAATTACTCAAATAAGCGCACACATAGACGGAAAGCAAATCATACACTAGGATAATTTCATCATAATGACAGTCAGCAAGCTCATGCACACACATTCATAAATGTACCACAGCAAATGATGGCAAAATTTTCATTATTGGGTGAACTATCCCTTTCATCATTCTCGTCTGACTGAAAAAGTAATCGTGGAGAGTCGCCAGCTGCATATCTGAACTGTAAAGTCAACACTCAAACACATTTGCAGTGCTGATTGTGAAAGCAGCATTACATAAAGCCCAGATATAATCCAGTGTTGCACCTAAACACATTCTTACAGGTCTTAACACACGCACAGCTTTGAGAGCAACCACGTGTGGTTTAATCTGCTGCCTTACATGCACATCTTAAATCTTTCATCATCTCATACGAGGCGAAATAATAATGCTAATTAATATGTAGCTTTTAATGAACAGGGCAAAATGCAAAGAAAGAAACGGGCAATTTAATCCACAACTGTGTTCATTATAGACTTTAAACCAACCTTTAGGACAGTCTTTTGTAATTCATAAACTTTACCCAGTCAAATAGATCATCTTCCAGATGTTCACGAATGATATTGATGTAAAATATTGTTTTTGTGAAATCTTTTTACTTAAAATCTTTTTAAATATTCTGAAAATAAAAATAATAATGACTAAACACATATCATTTATTAATAAATAATCATAATAGTATTAATTAATATTATTATTAACAGACTTTTAAGTATAACTTTGTTATTGTTGTATATTAAATTTGTAATTATTTTTGATTATTATAAACAATTATTTAATTTCATTTTTACTTATAACCACTGGAAATAAATATATTTCTTTGTAAATTTTACATTCACACATGCCAACTGTAAGTCTTTTTCAAGTTTTTTTTAAAAGAAATTATTTTGAAATCTGTCATTAATAAAGCATTCAAAACCTTTTTGAAATTTCCTCTAATTTTGACTTATATCTAGTAATATTTGTGTATAGTTTTTTTCTATTCTTTTTATAAATCTTTTATTATACATCTATTATTTATTACTTTAAAGTTTTCTTTATCTGTGTGATTTAATTTGAATGCAAATGTTTAAGTTTAAATATGCACCATTCAAGTGTATCTAATGCAAAAGAGAATCCTATATTTTGACATTGACAATAAGTCAAATAATGACTCTCCATACATTTCTAGACTTAATACAAATATGAATTATAGAAACTTATGAAGATGAATGGACACAACTGTATGGACAATCAGGAAGTGTACTGGACAGAAAAGCAGACTAACACCAAAAAGGCATTAATATCACATTTTAGACACCCTGAAAAGAAACCATTCTCTCAATGATTTGTAAATGTGTAATTAAACGTACAGGAATGAACGTGATACGGATTTTGCCACCAGGCCTGAAACTCACACACACTGTCCGAGCTAACGCGTTAGCCAGGAGTACAGAAGACAGAAATCACACACACCGTTTGAGATGAGTTTCGCAGACAGCTGCCGCACGAGTTCTGGTATCTTGTCCCATTGTCCCTCTGATCGACAGCGTTCTATTTCAGTCTCTAATCGCGACCCGGACTTTCTGGCTGTCATCTTTCTGCCTCCTCCTGAGTCCTGACCAAAACACGACCGGAGCCGCAGCACAGAAATATCAAAGACCTGGAGAGGAGCATAAAAACATGAACCGGATTACGCTTCCGGGCCATGGTACTACTACTGAACTCTCATTGGACAGATTCATATCACGTGACTATTATTTTTGACTCACTCATTGGACAGATTCCTATCACGTGACTATTATTTTGACTATTTTTTTTCTCACATATTAAATAAAAATGTTGTATTTATATTTTATTTTATAAAATGTATTTCTGCTTGGTCAATCATGGCCTACAGCAGTCAATATTTCTGAATAATGACATTCAATAATCGTGTGCTGTCTCTCCGTGCTTGCTACTACCAATAAACCAATAAAAAAAAAAAAAACTTAAATCAATACTTAATTTCCATACTTAGTAATACGTTGTATAATTTACAGTCAGATACAGTCATTTTGTCGCAATTTTTTTTGAACAAGCTTCATTAAACCATTAAACCTCTTCAAATAACAAACATTATCATTGTTTGCTGCCATTATCCAGTAATCCAGACCCGCAATAAATCGAAGCAGCATACAGTACCTTTAAAAAGAAAAACGTAGACTGGCTAAATTAATAAATAAATTCATCAAATTGATCAGGACCGGATGGGGAAATCAGAAAATCAGGGATTGAGTTCAGTGCTCCTCTACTCTTTGCAGTTTTCCTCTATCCTGTAATAAAATAATTTCAACTCAAATCAGTATTCCATGTCTCTTATTTATTTAGTAACACGTCGCGTAATAAACAGAATAATGCGAAGTCTCTGTCGGGTTTTAGAGCTACACACTGAATTGAACAGCTCTGTTCCTCTGGTAATCCAGATTGAATGAAGTTGCCCCTCCAGATTTTTGAAATTCATCAATCAGCAGAGCGCGCTGCACTGCAGCCTCCAGTGCTGAAGGTGGCGCTGCAATAATCGCACTTCTGACATTCAGCAGCAGCAGTGTGTCTGCGGCATGCTGGCCGGGGATTTGGACAGAAGATTGTGTAAATTATTAAATGTCTTAATCATTATTGTTGTAAGAAATTGGCTTATTTTCATCGCCACGCTTTTACATTTCTGAGTAAATTTGATTTTCGTCGTTGTTGTACGAACGGTATTGTTTATTACTCGCTTACAGCCTGCATGCAAGTATATGATGTGATGTAGGAGACATTAAAATGAGCTAAAAAGCGTATTTGAAGTGTTTAGATATTAAGATGGACATATAGCTGTATACGATATATAATTATTTGACTTTGCTTGTTATCATTTAAAATGTTAATTGATTTCAGTGCCATTTCAAGTCAAGGTCAGATGGTTTGCTTAGACTTCAGAGAGTTCAGAAATAAATCTATATCAGATACTTATATACAGATACTAGAGCACTTTTTAGTCTATTAAAGACATATGTATTGTTTACCAGTTTAAATACGTGATAATAATGAAATTAGATCATATCTACTGTTTTTTATGAACTCAAACTCTAAATTCAAGGCTGAATAGCCCCAAACAATGTGCATTTACTGTACAGTCTTGTATTGTTTACATGAGTATGTCATTTTTAATGCAGTTTAAAAAGATTTTTTGTTTGATTTGTTTTAATCAAGAATTATTTTTTATCAATAATTTATCATTTTCTCATAATTTGTACTATTCTGCTTTCTGATGTGACATTTGTAGCTGAACTGCTTTGTGATTTATTTCAGATTCACTCTTGTAACCCGTCACTGGCTGCAGGATGTTCTTGACTTTGGCGCTTTTGCGGAAGGGAATCCCAGGAAAGCAGTGGATCGGGAAGTACCGTCGACCACGGGTAGTCACCTGGCAGATAAGACGCAATGTGATTAAACGCCTGGAACAGGAAGCCGAGAATGAATACTGGATCAGCCGGCCATTCATGACGCAGGAACAGGAGCAAGGCCACGCAGCACAGAGGCGGGAGTGGATGTGGCAACAAATCAAAGCTACACGACAAGCCAAGTTTCCTGAACACAAATACATTGCAGACCAACTAAACCACCTGAAAATCACCAAGACCTGGCCCAGCTAACCAGAACATCAAAGACTGATGCATCTCAGAGTTTGGAAAGAGGGAATTGATGAAAACCTAGGACTCTTTGTGTTTGATTTGATATTTTCTGCATTGTGCATCTGTATGTGATATGTGCTGTGCTTAATAAATGACTTCTGATCAACACATTTGACTCTTCTTATTTTTTAATTCATAATGTAGTCTTAACTGTAAATTTTATTTTAATATGGTAAATTCAATTCCAAGTCAATTCCAAACAAATTTGTTTGTCAAAAGTAACAGCACAAAAAAAAACAAAAAAAAAAATCTGGGTGAATAAACTGGTCACTCTTTCGATTATATATTTTCAATAAATCAGATTTCCTATAATTCATTCATAAATCATTATTGTATATATTGCATCGACCAATATATACTGACCTGTTAAGCACAAATAATTACTCCCATGTGTACTCCTATAATTGCTCAAAATAATATGATATAATACTCCCATGCACTAGAGAGCAGTGTACACGTCATGATGGCAAACCACGTTCAAAACTTCACTTCCCACAAATCAGTGGGCGCGAGCGCCTTGGTCTCCATGACAGTCTTGCTATTGTTGTTCAGTAGATAATCATGGATGGATGAAGAATACAACTGCTTTTCTCGCCATTAAACCTTTCCTAATAAATCAGTCGACGATATGGTGGAATAATCGGATTTTCGTTTTATGTTCGCGGACTCTTTACTCTCCTCCACACAAGGTTTGATAGATAAGGTTCGGCCCAGCTCAGTGCTGGATACTACACCTTTTTCCTCACAGCACAGCTGTGATCCAGTCTGTGTGGGTCCGACTGTTTGTGAAGCATGAGAGAGCAGCGTTGGTGCAGCGGCCCGGTCCGGACACAGGAGGCTCGGAGTCGGATCACAGGCTTGATGGAGGAGATGCGCCTGTAACAGCTTCAGGAGGATGATTTCACGATACAGCCGCCGGCCTGTATCTCACAGCATAGAGATGTGCGTATAAATCACACAGACACGATCTCAAGCTGCCTACTTAGACTGCATTTTTGGTATCTCAGTTTCATAGGTAGCCAGCTCACTAGGCTACTGTGGATTGATAGATAGATAGTCAGAAAGATATTTGGTTTGATCCATAAATAGACAGACAGACAGATTTTTAAATCGAACCGTAGATAGATAGATAGATAGATAGATGAATAAATAGATAGATAGTCAGGTTATCAATCCAGTTATTTGGTAGATAGATAAATACTCATAGAAAGATGAGGTTGATAGATATAGATAGATAGATAGATAGTCAGGTTATCAATCCAGTTATTTGGTAGATAGATAAATACTCATATAGAAAGATCTTTGGGCTGATGTTTAGATAGATAGATAGATAGATAGATAGATAGAACGAAAGAAAAAAACTTGGGTGGATAGAAGGACAGATCTATTGATAGATTTTAGAAGTAGTAAATGCTCTTCCTCTCTCTCTGCTGGTTTTGGTAGTCGTGGTTTGTCCCGCAGCTGTCTGGACCAGCATCCTCTTCCAGAGGAGGCAGATGATGATACTGTGCATCCTTCCAGACTCCTGCATGATCTACAGGAGGACATGTCCTCATACAGCAGGTGAGTGACAGGTATAATGTGTGTCTGTACAGGTATGTATTAAAGGGACAGGCTTTCATCACTGAGTATATTGTGTGAATTGTCGCATAATATTCACTCTTTCCAATCTGACGTTTGAATTTATGAAATAATCACACTCACACTCTCTCTTTCTAGGTCTGAGGAGTCCTCTGCATCATCCGTCAGATCAGGATGTCAGACGCTCACCACAGATGACACAGCTCAGTCTTGGTCTGGTATCCATAGTTACACGGGAACTGGCATCTCTACAGAACACAGCTCTGTCTTCTCGTGGGGCTACGATGTGAGTGATGACTTGAATTCTAAGGGGCCGTTCACACAAGATGCTTTCTTGTTATTAAATTTACACAGCGTGTTCAAAATGGGCTGCTGACAAGTTCAAATTCCTCTATTTTTCCCTCTTTCTTTCTCTCTTTTCCCTGTAGGAATTTGATAAAGCTGCCTCCAGGCAAGTCCAGCAGATGTTTGAAGAGATTGAAGAACTGTTGTATGAGAGGAAGTGTGAAACACAGCTCAAAGGCCTACAGGAAGAGTGTCAAGAGTGGGCTTCGCGATTCCCTCATCTACGGTACGCACTCGCACACATGGACACACTCAGATCTGTGAACATCAGTGACGCCTTCGTAGTCTCAGGTTAGGGCTGCAGAATTACTCTTGTTTTAATCACGATCGGGATTTCTGCATCTCTCAGTTAATTGTAGGGCTGGGCGATATAGCTAAAAAATATATCAACGATATATGTTTCATATCGTTCGGTATCTATAATTATTGACATTTTTTATAACCTTTTTTAAAACAGAGCAATATAATTTTTTACTGTTTTAACTTTGCATGGCTTTCTATTAATCTCTTGTGTGAGACGCGAGTGCAGCAGTCATATTTGTCCGTCTAAAAATGTGCTGAATATGGGTTCTGTGTGAATGGCTTGGTTTCGGTTTTAACCTAATCAAGATCTTCTATGCATTGAGCTACTATATTTCTCTAATATTTTAAACGAATAACACAGCAGCGGCGCGTCTCGTGGGCTAGACAAAACATTAAAATGCAACGTCACTTACATCATCATCACTGCATCTCGCGCGCCACTGATGACGCTCCCTGACACACTCCTAACATTCGATTGTACCATTTTTGCATTCAAATGCAAATGTTTATTTTAAATTAGACTATTATTAATTTTTTTTATTCACAGTCTCCTCATCACGGGCAGGCACAGCACTCAATTCAGCATGTGTTCGTGTTTGTGTGAGCTGTCTGCGTCACTCATAGCACGTGCCTATATCGTGCGCTATATCGAACATTTTTTATATCGTTATCGATGAAGATGTACCGTCGATAAATATCGATACCGTTTTATCGCCCAGGCCTAGTTAATTGTATCTAATCATCTGCAATATTTGCCAGCTAATTATTTATCCTGAAAACGTATTTTCATTTGACATTTCCAATCTCCATTACAATACTGAAAGTGCTATACAGTCCTTCACAGTGCTGTTTGTGCTAAATCTTCTCAGTGACAGACTGTAATAAATCCAAACTTGAATCTCAGCTTTATTGTTGGTGAATGGTTGCTGAAAAATGCACTTTAGTGCTACAGTACTACGTTTTTTTTGTTGTTTTAATAGAAAAATGTTAACATAATTTGGAAGTTTTGGAATTTGTCTTAGGAATTTCACTGTTTTTGCTTTAGAGATAAGCTTCTTAAGCTTTTACAAGAGAACGTTTTTTATTGAATGAGATAAATTATTTTAGATAATGTGTTATTGTATATGATAAATCAAGAAATTAGATGAGATGAAATAAGCCTTGTGTATAAGCTTGACGTTTTTTTGTGCTTAAGGGAAAATGTAATAACTCTGATGAAATGTAAAAAGAAATTTCTCAAGTGAGAACAGTCATGATTTACTAATTGCATCGATATTAAAGCCCTGCATCTAAAAAAAAACCTTCTGACTTGCATAAAAAGGCTTAATATTACCTGCCATTTGAAGGTGCTGAGTTCAAAAATATAAAAAAAAATGTATACAGCTTTTTCACAGGATAAGAATTAAGAATTTTAATTACTAATTAAAATTATATATGTATAAGTTTAATACACATATTAAAATAACAACAACATTCAAATGTCAAAAGTTTCATTAAACTTACAATCTGCAAATGAGTGGAAAAATATGTTCAAATACTCCATTAAATGTCAAAGAACTTTACATAAACAGTTGGGTTTTTTTTCAAGCTTTTTTTCACAAAATCCTTAGTATGGATGTAGTAAAACACCCACAGATGTCACAGAGAATTGGGTGCTAATTCTCTATTTCTAGAATTAGCACCCAAAAGCAGTATTGTATCTCATTCAGCAAAAACGAAGTAGATTGGTGAATTTTTTAGGAAATAATTGTGATTATACGTTTAACTTTTATCATGCAGCCCAGTCTCTGGATATTAAACCTGTTTGGGGCATTTGTGTGTGACAGGATCCTCGGAACACAGCTGGTGTGTCCTACAGATGAAGGATTCCAGTGGTACGCCATACCAGCTCATGTGCCCATCCCCTCCAGTGGCGGCCAGAGCAATGAGAAAACTAATGAGTGAGTCATCTGGGGGTTGTGAATGTGTGTGTATGATAGTGCTGGGCAGTATGACCACAAATTTATATCACGGTATTTTTCACAGTCAGTAAGCGACAGGTGCTAGGAAACGCTGTTTTGTACTAATTTATTGACGAGTCGGCTGCGGTGCGGCCAACTGAATGCGCTGCTTCTCTGCCGCTCACTGCACAGAACAGTGTACATAACTGCCGCTCACTGTACATAACAATAAATTATGCGAGAGAGGTGACACTTCTCCGTTCGCGGGACAGCACTGGCAAAATCTTCCAACTGAATCATAGCTAAGGTTTATCCAAAAAAGTCGCTAGGTTTGTCAGTATGAATATTCTATGGAAAAAAGCCGCTAAAAGGGTCTGAAAGTTGCTAAATCTAGTGCTAAAGTCGCGCTCGTGTGTGTGTGAGACGTGGGAGCTGATGGCAGGGGGCGGTGGATATTTGTGGCGGTCAATGTGGATATTGTGGATGAGTTCTTCTGTGTCATCACGTTCTATTAGTTCTACAGCTTCAGTTTCGGAACTTTCACGCTTCGTAACACATACAGCTGTTCCCTCACCACAATGCACCAGTGAAAAGGGACCCCTTTCAAACAGTGTTGCGTTCCGAACGTTGTTTAAGCGACATACACCAGTATTGCAGTATTTAAAAAATGCATATCATAACAAAAATAAACACCGGTATTCGGTATGAACCGGTATACCGCCCAGCACTAGTGTATGAAATCATTAGTGTTCTATAAAGCCTATTTTTCATGCCACTGTGTGTGTGGCAGGT